ATCTTCATCGTATGTTCAGCAGTGCTATAATTGTGGAGAAAAGGATTATCTGGCTAAATCGTGTCAAAGAGGGATAAAATGCTTTAAATGCATTTGGTCATATAGCATCGAAATGTCAAAAAGAGGGTAGTTCAACAAAACCAACTACGTCAAGAAACTTTGGGCCGTGAAGTCGACACACATCGTAAGGCTGATACAGTTGGCAACCCTGAGAAACGAAGTTTTTGCGTTTCGTCGAATGCAAAAACAATGGCGGACAGCGTAACGGTTGGCAGTACCGGTAACATGGCGTCGATCGCTATGACGTTAACGAGTGACCCGAGTGACAGTGACATTGACAGCTTAAAGTTAAATGTAAACAAGGAGTCTACTGTGGTTAAGAAATTAGAAAATAGTCTTAAAGTTGTTAAAATGTGTAATATAAATAGTAGTGCTTTAATAGATTCAGGCAGTGAAGTAAATTTAATATCTTTTGAGTTTTATAGTCGAATAGGTTTTCCAGATTGTAAAAACGATAAAAATTTAATATTGACAGGTTTAGGATTGTCGAAAGTAAATTCGATAGGATATTTTAAGTACGATATTGAAGTTAAAGAATTTACATATCGTGATATTTTGTTTTATATAGTACCTAAAAAATTTATACCGTACGATTTAATATTGGGGCTCGAATTTTTACAAAATGTTGTAACTGTGATGAAAGATGGTAATGTATGGATGAGGCCAAATGAATGGTTGTATAAGGTCAATTGTTTTACGTGTATTTCTGATATTGTAGATCACATAAAGTCCCCTAATGTTCGAGAAACTGTGGCGCAACTAGTGGAGACACGTATACCAAATCAGGTCAAAGAAGCACCCATTAAGTTAAAGATCATATTGAAAGACGAGGTACCAGTTGCACAGCGTGCCAGACGTATTTCACTGAAAGAGCAGGAAGAAGTTGATAAACAAATTAAACAGCGGCTTGACTATGGTATCATTCGGGTTAGTTTTTCTGAATATGCAAGTCCACTTGTACTAGTTCGAAAGAAAGATGACTCTCTGCGGGTCTGTGTTGATTACAGGATGCTTAACAAAAAGATGTTGAAAGATGAATATCCAATGCCTAATATAGATGACCATATTGATAAACTTGCAAAAACAGATTTATTGAGAAAAGATAAAAAGTTTGAGTTTAAAGATGAACATAGAGAAGCTTTCCAAATTTTAAAGATGAAGTTAGTTACAAAGCCGGTTTTGAAAATTTGTGATCCAAAAGCTGACACTGAACTACATACTGATGCATCCAGCATTGCTTATGCAGCCATACTAATGCAAAAAGATGATGAAGGCAATTTACACCCTGTCCACTACATGAGCCGACGAACATCAGAAGCTGAAAGGAGATATACCAGTTATGAGCAAGAAGCTTTAGCTATCATTGAGGGAGTAAAGAAGTTTAGACACTATCTTTATGGGAAACCTTTAAAAATTGTGACTGACTGTAAAGCTTTCCAGATGACCTTCAATAAAAAGGATTTAGCTATGTTCACAAGAGTGGCAACATGGATTTTGGTTCTACAAGATTATGACTTCACGGTTGAGCACAGAGAAGGAATAAAAATGAAACATACAGATGCATTGAGTCGAAACCCCTTTGTAGTTATTATAACGTCTGATTTACATAAAGATCTTTGCCATGCTCAAGAAAATGATGACGGGCTCAAAGCTATCATGGAAATCTTAAAAGAGGGTAAATCATACAAAGATTTTACATTACAGAATGGATTATTGTATAGAGGACAAGAACGACTGCTAGTTGTACCGCTACGGATGGATATGGAGATTATAAAAAAAGCACATGGAAATGGACAAGTGGAAAGAGTACACAGGACTCTTATATCAGTTTTGACTAAGTTGTGTATTCAGCAACCAGCATTATGGTATAAGCATGTTAGTCGGGTACAAAGAGCATTAAATAACACTTTCCAAAGAAGTATCGGCACAACTCCATTTGAGCTTTTGGTGGGTAAGAAAATGAAAAGAAAAGAAGCCACTGAAATATATGATTTGCTACTCCAGGAAGAAAGAGAAGGCTATGTTGCTTATAGAGAAAAACTTATAAAGATGGCAAAACAGCAAATATTGGAGATACAAGAAGAAAATAAGAAGGATTATAATAAGAAGAGAAAGGATCCTGACACATACAAAGAAGGAGATATAGTTGCCATAAGGCGTACACAGTTCGGAGTTGGTATGAAGCTAAAACCTAAGTATCTAGGACCCTATAAGGTCAGCAAGGTTAAGAGAAACAATAGGTATGATGTTGAAAAGATTGATCTAAAAACTGAAGGTCCCATTAGAACATCCACTTCAGCCGACTACATGAAAGCTTGGCCAGATACAAGCCTGAATGAAGATTAAGAATGTAAGGTGAGTCTATTAAATATTTAATGTATGTATGTGATGAATGACTGTGTAATATTTGAGAAAGCCCCAATGTTAAAGAGTTGTCTTTATTTTGTTTTTATTTAGTTCTTTCTCTATTATAATATGTGTTTTTAATCAAGATTGAGAAGGAGTTAACAATGTTTTCGTTTTAATTTATTTTTGTTTAAGGATGTATGTTAAAATTTCTTTTGTATTTTTAAGTTTATATTTGTAGTTATAAGCATTCTTTAATTATTGTCATATATTATTGTTGTGATGTTATGAGATGTATGATTGTGATGACTGTGGACAGTCATGTAAGCAGGAAGGCCGAATGTGGGAATGGGTAATGAATGCACAGAAAACGGAACGTTGAGTGAAAGAGGGAGAGGGAAGACGTATGGCGGGTGTGAGCAAAGTGTGTTAAGACGGAAGACGTGTGCTGAGATATAAAAGACGATATTAAGTTGTATTAGGCAATAAGAAGAAAAAAAATAATATTTTTGAAAGCTAACAACGTGTTCGCTAATTTCGAAATCCTTCCCCACATTAATATAATTATAATTTACTTTATAAAGATAATTTTAATCGTCTTACAATATCAATTACAATTTCCAAGCAGTAACCAAGTATATCTGTTTGATGTCATAGCGAAAATAACGATTTAGGGACTCGCAACCCATTCAAACTTGTTGAGTATTATCAACGTAGCGAGTACTTCCGTTCAAATTCCCCCTTATTTACATTAAAATTTTGCTACTTATCTGTAACAAACAGCTCTTGGCAAATGCGACAAGAGTGTTAAGATTCCATCACTCTTTACGACTTTTGAACTGTCGAATTTAAGTATCTATGTAGGTTCGCTGTTAACTTTTAGAAATAGATGATGTTCTATTAAATATAACCCTGGCATGAAAATGTATAGATGTTGCTACAATAAAAAAACGGTGTTATTATTTGGCGGTGAAGAACAGTATTGCAAGGGTTAAAATTAGTAATTAGAAGTGACGTACGCTAAATTTGGAAAATAAATATGCCGACTTAATTAACTCTAATTAAGTTATTAAATAAAAACACTACTATATTTTCGAAACATTAAGATACTTAATTAATAAAAATCCGAACATATACTTTTTAAACTACTTAAATGAACACAAAGACAAAACATTTGTCCTTACGGTTCAATAAACACCGATTTAGAATAAATATTTGTAATACTTTCCTGATTTTTGTAACATTACTACTATTTAGAAAGCAATTAAGACAAACTCTTCGGAGAGCTTCGAACGATTTCCCACGACCTAGCGGCAAAACGTACAAAGCACTGACCATTACATTACCTATAAATCTGGTCGAATGGCATACCAACTCCAAACTTATGTTTGCAATAAATTCACCAACCGCTCGATGGTTGAATAGCTAAAATATGTTTTCAAGGAGCTACGACAATGCCGCCCCATAATTTAAAGACCATAATGAATCGCATGCGGCCAATGGTGGGGCTGCCTGCAAAATCGATGATGACGGGGAACATTGAAAACTGCATAGCTTCAACTCTTGTAAATTTAACGGCTTAAGCAAAATGGAAGTACTGCCCCTGAATTGCTAAAGAAATGTTTTAGAGGTCTGCATTGGCCCTGCTATTCGTGCTTTATTGGATATTTTATTTTCGTGGACTGTGTAAAGCTTTGTCAGTCAGAGGTCACGATTTTGTGCGGTATAAAGGTCATATAGAGTGCGGAACTACATAATGTTAGACAGAGAACGAACTAGATACAAGAATGTTGCTATACACGTGACTGGTTATTTATGTTTAAAAAGATATTAAAGTTGAAAATACCTTTAATCTACGAATATAAATTTTATATAAAAAATTCGTCTGTACGAATGACGTCAGGAATAAGGTGACTATTACCTATTACCCCCTCAGCAATTTATTCATAGGTATAATAAATGGGAAAATGTAAGTACATATACGTGTCTGAACTATGATGGTACCGGAACAAATATGTGAAGATATTAGATGTGGAAGTTTCGAAGTATCATGACAGCATTGCCGCAAGGAACTTTCTTTGAAACGTTATTTTTATCGTTCGGAATTGCACAAAAACTTTCGAATAATTCTCACTCGATTGTGTGGAAAAGTTTAGCCAAATATTTTGCAGATGAAACTTTTCTCTACTGTTGTATATTTCAAAGGGAATTTGAAAATTAAACTTCAATTTATTTTCTCATATAAGAGCTCAATGCAATTGTAATATGAGGTTGTTGTTATTGCAGCTTGTTATATTACTTCTCTTACTGCATGGAACAATTTCCTGTGAATAGAATATTAGGAGTCTTATATCAGTTTTCATTGTTACCGCTTAACCGTAGTTGATAAAATAAATCGGGTAACTTAGTATCTAAGAAAATTAAGTCAGTATTTCTGCACGCAAATGATTTTGACAATTTTTGCATAAGTAATTTTAAATTTACAGGAGTTAATAAGTAAATATACGAATAACGGTTCAATTATATACTTATCACAAGCCCTTTAATTAAATCTTCCAACATAGAATAAAGCCAAACTCAACCGGGGAAAATTAAGCGTGATTACAACATTGCGTAGGGGGCGCGTTACGCGTAATTGCTTCGTTCAATTTCGCTTCCACCTCTTTACGCGAGGCCAGACGGAGCAGCGCGAAATAGGGGCCTGGATTGTTTCCTCCATAGCGACGGAAGACCGGGAATGGACTCGGCCCAATACACGCCCCGCCGACCCTCGCATAAAATGGAAAACCCGTCGGCCGCGACTTCCGATGGTATCCCATTGTCCGCCCGGGTGCGTGCAACCCTTGCCGTTATTAAAACGAAAACTAGCTCGACAAATGAAAGGTGCTGCTATTCATTCGATTAAGTTTGGATTGAGCGTTTACATTTTTTGTTATAAGTTCCGTTCCAATATCAAATTTACTCTGGGAGCGGCATGCTCTAGAATAATCGCATGCAATAAAAAAAAATTAGATATTCTCTCTCTTCTCTTCTAATTTTATGCTTGAAGATTAAGCATCCCAATATATATTTTGTTTTCTGCCGATAATATTTAATAGATAATTTTTAATAGATGGCATTGGATGATTTCATGTATCTATCTCCAAATTCATTTATAGCAGCGGTAATTTTTCTTTAAGTCAAAATTAAGTAAATAGTAACGGCTCTACTCTAAATATTTATGGATAAAGTAAACTGTTACCTGTGTTTACTTATTCTTCTTTAAAATATTTTTATCTCGTTTAATATTTAACGTATCACTAGCGCCTGTTGACAAAGTTTTAAAATATGTGGAGACATACGACTATAGTGTAGTCAACGTTATAAAAATATTTACTACTTCTGTACGTGTGATGTAAATATTTACTGTTTTATGCATGTAAATCGAAACGTAAATACCCACTATTTCTCAAATATCAACAACAGGTTGGATAAACAGTAAACATCGGGTTTGGGTGCAAATGGAATTTTGTATGAGATCCATTGTATTCACTATTACTATTCGAGGCGACAGTCGGAGAGCGGCTGCTCAACTTTGCATTTCAGAGCATTGCTCAGTCGAGCGCGGTAACGCAGAAGGTGTATTAGACTTAATTCACTTGACTTCACCTCGTTGTTTCTGCCGCCTTCCCGGCGTCACGTCTGGGAAATTGTTAAAATAAACAAGCCCCTTTTTCGGAACGTGCTCTAAATTCGAATCGCGCTCAACTTTCAAATTTGGAGCATGAAGATCCACGCGATTGTTTTTCTGGTGGCCTGTTTCATGCTTTGCGAATGCGAGCACCTGATCATCGGCGATTCCAGCAACAAAGACATGGTGTACCACACCGCGGCGAGATTCACCGCCATACCATATAAGAGGAGAATAGAAAATGTGTTTTACTCAAATCCGGAACAAAAGAAAATTAAGGTAAATAATTGTTATTAGGACTTTTTTCATTTGAAAGTAACTACCCGAAGACCAGTAATAACTGTATATATAATAATACTGAATAAAAACTGAATAATAATAACTCAAAAAGGTGAAATTTCTTACAAAATGTTATTTGCAAAAAAGTAAATGTCCTAGAAGTAAATGTCCTATTAATACAAATAACATTTCATATAATGTTCTATGCTTTTTGCACTGTTTCAAATAATAGGCCTCTTCACTGTGATTACATTCGTTCTATAATTAAAAAAAAATGTAAAATGTTATAACACAAAGTATAATACTCTGTAAGGATGACATGACAAACAGCTATCAATCTTTAAAGCAGATTGCCTGCTTGTGTGTTTAACTACCTACGTTTAATGAATTATTACACATTTTTTTTAATTTGTCTAATCGCCGTTTATCCTATTTGTTAACTTTTCACAAGGACTTTTCAAATAATCGATACGAACCCCGACAAGTATTTAAAACATCCAGAGTTTTATAACTTTACAATTTACAATTACAGCTTAGGTTTGGGACTTTTTTGAAGAAATATTTCAAGTTCTAGATTATTCTTCTAATTACAGCTAAATATAATTAAAAGTATAACAAGTTATATAACAATCAATTTTTTTCTATTAACGCAAGTGTATATATATTACACGTATTATTTGACTAACAGAAAAAAATATGCAATAATTTAGGGTGATAATATCCGTACTATATTTATTAAAGGTATGGTTAAGTTCTAAACGGGCTATTAAGTAAAAATGTGATCTATCTATCTATGGGCTGATAGTTTATTTATTAAGAAAATTGTAGATCACACTGTTACATTTACTGCTTTACAACTTCGATAAACTTGTAAACAGTTAGTTTTCTTTCTAGATGATATGTCTTTACTATTCGGCATAATACATTATATTAATGATAATTAAATATAATTGATAAATTGAAAAGGAGGATATATTTAAACATAGAAATATAGAGTGAACAATAGTTTTATTTGGCTTGACACGTAATATATTGTATTAACTAATTGAAGGAATGCGCCCTTCCTCATCAATTCATTAAAACTATGACTTTTGTATTTGGTTTTAGAATTTAAGGGAATATTCTGAAAGCCTTCTGGTTAATTTATTATTTGTTATTGCTCTCTTGCATTTTCATCATGATCAATGACGACTTAATTTTTAAGAGCTGATTATAGACAAATTGTTGAAATTAATAATTATAATAAATCATGCCATATTGGTAAATAGAAAATATTGAAACTTGTCTTCATTACGAATGCAAATTGGTTTTTCCTATTTATGAATTGAAATTAACCGGTACGTATACATACAATCCAAAATCAAAATGGTCAAAATCAAATACTTTTATTCAATATAGAAGCATTCCACTTACTTATTGATGGTCAAAACGTTGTCACCGGTTCGGAAAGAAAAGCCACTGATCCGAGAAGAACCGGCGAAAGAAACTCATCGGGACTTTTTTTTTATACCATTACTTATCAAATAAAGACATGTTTACAAATGTACTAACTTGAAAGAGCCTGGAGCGATCACTTCATTTCCAGGGTATGTTATCATTTAAATAATCACTAACATTATAATAAATAGCCTTCAACACACAAACGTTCCTTTACAATTTTTTTGAATGTAGAAATTGTTTCATTCACGTTTTCTGGGATTTTGTTGTAAAAACGTATACACAATGTATAAAAGAATTAGTTGCTCTACGCAGTCTGGTTGCGGGTAGGATTAACCTAGTATTTATATCATATACATTCGCATGTCTTGAAAATTCATTTTTGTTTTTATGGACATCCATAACATTTTCAAGTATGTAAGCAACAGGTACACCATGTCATCTTGGCAGAATACTTATGTGTGTGTGAGAAATTAACAACCTGAACAAAGCTGTTAATGTTCATTTAACAGCTTATTCTAAAATTTTATAGGCCATTAACTCATTAACTCATTGCGAACCTTGTCTCCTTGACATTCTGTTTATCCATTAAACAGATATAGATATAGATATAGTTAAACTCATTTTCACGTACTTCAGGTTCAAAGTAAAGAACCTCGTAGTTGCATTAAAATTTATCAAAGTCATAATCTAAATTCGAAAATAATTACGATGCGTATGAACGTATAAATGTATCCGGGCTCGATCCAATATTTATGCAGTGTGCAAAGTCGGTATCCGGTTTGGCGAGTGAGCATAATATTCAATGTAGAAAGGTTAAATTGACTCCCGAGAACTATGTCGAAATAAGCAATTAACAGACACAGGTTCGAATCCAGCAGCGCTTATCTATAAAAATATAGATAATTCGAACGAGAGATGTCGCCATTGCTTTTTAGAAATAAAAATTTTCATAGTGCTAATATCTGCACTTAAGACCGCGACCCTCGCGAGACACGCGACCCCTCGCGGATAGGCTAATATCTTCGAAATATCTAATATTTATAATATTAATATTTTAGCCGTGATAGCTCAGTGTCCGGGCGCTCGCCTTTAATTCAATATACTCGAGCAACCTGAGTTCGATCCCCGGTGCCGGCACCAATGAAGTTTTTAACTTTAGGTGCTGTCTTATCACGTGCTCCGCGGTGAAGGAAAACATCATGAGGAAACCTGCATATTTTCGAAATAATAACAAAAAAATATATATTTCGAAGATATGTGAAGTCCGCCAATCCGCATTGGGGCCGCGTGGTGGACTATGCCCTGATATCCTCTATATAGAGGAGGCCTTTGCCCAGCAGTGGGACATGTATAGGCTGTTACTTTTTTTTTAATCTAATATTTTATTAATTCATTTTTAATATTTTATATTTCATTATAATTTGTAGAAAAAGTACAAAAAGTTTATCGCCTCTGTGGGCCGCCATTGTAAAACGATATTCGAAATTGTTTGTATGCTGGAAAGGATATAACAATGAATGCGTTAAGCATTGTATCACATGCTAAAAAGCAATGTAGATAAAGATGTTAAGATTTTCGTTGGTGTGGCAATCAGCCGTTTAGCTTAGTGGCTAAAGCGTCAGTCCGCAAATTGCGAAGATGTGGATTAGATTCCCACAGCGGCGAAAAACTTTTCGTACTTTTTCTACAAATTTTAATAAAATAGATATTTCGAAGATATTTGCCTATCCGCGAGGGATCGCGTGATGGACTATGCCATACTACCCTCTGTTCAGACGAGGCTTTTGCCCAGTATTGGAATATATATAGAGGCTATAGGCTGATCCCAAGCCAGCCCTAGTCCCGGGCTCTTATAATATTACTAAGGTATTCCCTGCCTGTCGTCTGGACTAAAAGGACGTTGGGTTTCATGGACTAGCAATAGTGTAATAATAATAGCTATGCAAGATGGTGAGGGTATCGGTGAAGATTCATCCTTCTCCGAGGCATGCTCAAGCGCACTATCGAGGGACACCGTTGCGTTACGCAGGAGATCCCGGAGTCCTTCCAAACTCACAGGTACAAAAGGTAGCCACCGAGGAGGTCTTAATAATGTCGGGTCGCGGGCGCAGATATGCATACATATACAATACTTTTATTATTATTCACGCACACATAAACAATACTTTACTGTATTACTCTTATGTTATAGAGCATCCTCGTGTACGATAACCTGCACTCGGACGCTACGGCGAGCGTCACTGCCGGCGGCATCGGCTACACCTTCGTGAACATTCGACTCAAGAGCGAGAAGGGAACGCGAATCGACTACGACATAGGAGTTTACGTGTAACTTGTTCATCATCAGTGTTTTCATCGTTTTCACAGCAAAAGCTCATTGGATGTCTTCGCTTACAGCTGAAATGGAAGCTGATGATAAGACTACGTTCATTGAATTTTTACTAAGAATGCAATTACTAGGGACAGGGAATTAAACGACTGTCCAGTCTTCAACATTATAGCAACGCAATTTTTTATGTTGGCATAATAATGTTTTCGAAAAATAGCTGTAGGGTTTTTACTTAATTTTGTAATATTGAACATGTTTTATAAGTCTGAACAAATTATGACTTAGTATGTTAACAAATGTGTTCCTATAAATATTTCAATCCAATGTGATAGAATAATCAATAAAATGTTTTTATAATAATTTTAAACTATAATTTTTTTTACCGATCAGTAACAACAGCAAAGAAAATTGTGCAAAGAAGAATAAATTACATAAAACATGTCAAACTACGCACAGAAATCATCTTGTCCCAAGTTTATAACTATTTTCCCATTGTGGTATCAAGCGAATTTTTTTAAAGTGATAATGAAAAACCAGCAATGGACATAACTGTTAATTGATTACGAAACTCAAATGCCAAGTTATAAGACGGGACGTCGCGCTATCCAACGCATATTAATACGTATTAACTCTTACGTCAGACGAGCACTATTGTTGTGCATTCGACACGGCATTGTCCTTGATGCCGGTTTTCGCTGAGCTGTTGCAATATTTCAGCGCGGCGAAAGGGCAAATTGTATCAGCCGCCGACTAAGGCAGCGGGAGTGCGGTGTGACAGTGATGCCGAATTGAACACGACAACATGCTTTTAGTGGAGCCTCGATACGGCCCCCTGCGGCTTCTAGCGGAAAGCATCGCGTGCACCGATTGGCCCAAGTTGTCGACTGCTGGCAGTTGACGATAAAATTAAAAAAAACTTTTGAATCTATAATCTTCCAAATTTGAAATTTTTCCATTATGTGAACGCTTGTTTCTGATGTAGATCTTATTTTGGTCTTATTTTGGTTAGTTAGCGATTTGGAAAAATAAAACGGCTATAGTGAACTTCAATTTTTAAAATTTCTTTCAATGTAAAGAAATCACATTGTTAAAAGGAAGGTAAGCATTTTGTGTAATTGAAAGAAAACAATTTACTAGTTGCATTTGGAAATTCAATAAAAACTTTGTCCCATCTTATCGGTTTTTTTACTAGATTAAAACAACATAGTTTTTGTGGAGGTGCACACCTACGAATAAATTAGAAACATTGCACACAAGAATAAAACGAATAATTCTGATAAATACTAATTACTTTTTGACTGTAATTCTAAGCAAGAAAAAAGATAATATATGAAATCATTTTTAAGAGTTTACGCATATCTTTCAAATGTTTTACGCGGTAGATTTTATTGTTCAAATATTTCCCCTAAGTATTTCCCGACAGCTATGAGAAAAGTGGCGTTATACACTCCCGCAAAAGGAAGATAATACCAACTCGCTAGTATTCCTCAAAACAAGTGGCAGACACCATAAAATGGATTTCAACACGGAGCGAGCAAAACTTAGCAATTTAACAAGTCCTCCGCTCTTGGAACTTTCGAACTTGGAACTACTTAGCGATGTCACGTACAACCAGCGCTTAATTGAATAGCTAATTTGATTGTTAAGTTGGAACGAATTAGCGATCTTTTTCGGTTTCAAATCTGTATTACGAAATTTAAACCATGGAATAGTATTTAATTTATGATTAATTCATTTAATCATAGCGTTATGTTAAGAAGGTAAAACAGTAAATGCAGATACAACAGGACGTGTTAAAATAATATAATCAACAAGGTTCAACACAGCAAACATTTCTTTGTAAGTAGTATTGAACCTTAGCTTACGATTTTTTACCAAGTATTTTTTAACGATTGTCTTATACGAATCATTGACTTTTATTTCATGCTACAGGTATCTCTATCACCTTTTTCCCTTTTTCCAATTGTCAGGTAACTTGCCCAGATAAAAGGTGTCTGCAAATGTGACGTTTGCACATTTATCAAACGCTAAAATTGTGGTGATTGTAGGCCGAATGTAAAAGATAAAACAAGTCTTGGGAATGGACAAGTCCAAGATAATGTAAGATTTCGTTTTGCTCGTAAATGGTGGAACCTAAGCATTTATTGTGCTAGTGTTTATACCAAGTTGACCCGTTCAGCATTTTATGCTGTTGCGTGGCTAGCACGTCGGGGGAATTACCGCCCACGACCTAGAAGAAGATTCGTGGAAAGTAGGCCTATAACTTACCTTTTGCCTGAAGAACGAGGTAACTGGAGTCCACATAAAAGTTGGCAACGCTACTGCAACGCTACGTCAGTTGAGACTTTCTCAACTGACGCTCGTGTTCGCTGTAAAGGAAGCACATCAAAGCATTGCTAAAAATGCACTAAAAACAAAGTAAATAAAATGTCAAGATTTTCATGTGATGGGGATGGAGACCGCTTAGCTTAGTGGCTAGAGCGTCTGAACTCGAATTCCGGAAGGTGCAGAGTCAAATGCTGGCAGAAAAATGTTGTTACAACTTTATCTACACGTTTTAAATTTCATCTTGAAGACATAAATTATATATATTAGCATTAAACTAATGATTCAATAAATATCTTTTGAGATGCCTATTCATTTACTTCTTTTCATGAGTGGTGGTTGTTAAGTGCTTACCCTCGCCCAAGCATAGTCATGACCTTATCTCCTGGAACAATCTGGACCATTCATGTATCAGCAGATACTACGCATTAGCTTTGATCACATACAGTAGTGTCATTAAAAAAACATAGCCACTTTCAATAATATTCTTCGAGGAAAAACATCAACTACCTAAATCATTCACATTACCTCCACCACCGCCAATGAGTATTTACATCATATAGGACTGCAGATGCATCTCTATGCAATCAGACACGTAATATTAGTATAGTATAAATACTTCTATTGAAAGTATAAATTCTTTTATGAGAGATCGCAATATGTTGTTGAAACTATACAAGTCGTGTTTTATTCATTCGCGAAGCAATCCAAGTGCAATACGGCAATTTAGTGTTCCACGGACATGACCGAGTTTCGTGCGGCGACAAAAGCGCGATGTCAACATCGAAAACAAAGTTATCTGCGACGAGCAAGCTCCTTGAACCTGTGCCAGGCAATTCAGGTTATGAGGAGAATATTAAATGAATGCACAGCTTCACTCCTATGGCGGATTTCGTTGATTTCAATTGAATACCACATATCACAGATATGAATATAATTATCTTGTTTCATAACATACATATCTACATATGTATTATGTTTTATGTTTTATATATACATACATACAGTCGGGTCATAATTTCTGTCACATAAAGAAAACTTTTGGATTTTGAATGATGGCCACTTATATTTGAATATATATGTATATTTAGTTCTTACCTCTGCACTTAAGATGAAACATTAAATTTTTCAGAAAAAAGAACGAAAAGTTTTCCGCCGCTTCGGGATTCTAGCGCGCGTCTTCCGGATTTACTAAAGGTGATTGCCGCAACAACGAATTTTTACAAACTATAACAAAAGTTTATTGAATTCGAATTTAGAATATTTTATGAATATAAAAATGCTCTATTTCGATTTTTCATTTCACTTATTTTTAAATATCAAGGGGAAAACTTAAAGAAAAAAGTTGCGGTTATCGCGTTGCATCGGTGTGATTACATGTATAAACTAACGTATTTTTGTGTAAATTATTTAAAAAGAAGCATTTGACAGAACTACATATTTTATCCTTTAAACGAGCAATTCTTGTATATATATATATATATATATATAATCGGAATCTCCATTCCGCTTCGTGCTTCGACACGGAACGGACGTTACTCTGAGCCGGAGGGCCCATGCCAACCGACCCGGAAGCCATTTTGCAACCGTTGTTGCTACTTATATTATTTCTTTTATCTCTTTGTTGTGTTTCGCGGTCTACGGTTAGGGAAGTCTCAAGCAAGAAGAGTGAAGAAAGTTATAGAAGAAAGAAGAAACATTATAGAAGAACGAAGATACTTTGCCCGACTTCCGAGCGGATAGTGTTAGTGTAGTGTTGTGCTCGTAGGCAGGTTCCTGTCCGTAAGTAGAATTCTACACACATTTCTCGTCTCAGAGGCGGCATTGTAATTTTTACCTGTGTGCTTGTTGCATTAGGCGACAGCTAGGTACTCACCCTAGCGCACCTGAAAGCGCAGGCGATTAAAGGTTAATTTTAGGCACACACCTCCCTGCCGCAAGGTGGGGAGGCCTATTTAGTAAACCACACGCCGGCGGGGCGCAAGCCCCAAAGGCTCAAGCGTCGACATGAGTTCCCTCATAGAGGAATTCCTGCGGGAGGAATGCCCCGAAATATGGGCAAAATATTTGAATTTCGCGAGGGAACGACGCATCGTCGTCGAATTCTCTAGCGACAGTCCGGCTTCACCGGCTGCCGCCTCGCCGCCATCTCCGGTGCCCTCTGCGCCAGCTATTGTGTCGCCCTCTGCGACTATCGAAACGCCCGTCGCGTCGACCTCCGCCGCCGCGATCGATCCTAACGCGCCTTCCGCGCAACCAATTTCGGCCCCCTTCCGCGCTGTCGTTCCCGACTCACAATCGGACGGCGGCTCAGACATAGAGGTCGAAACGACCCCCGCTAACAACGCGACCGCCGACGGCTTCACTGTCGTCAAATCGCGCAAAAAGGGCAAGAAACGCCCAGCTACGGACAGCGACCACGAAAGTGAGGCCGCCCCGTCAAACCGTCCCACCGCGGCGCCCGCCAAAAAGGCAGCCGCGACTGCCCAGTCGGAACCGACATTCGCCTCCAAGCGAAAAATCAAGCACCGCCGCCAATTATAATCCAAGAAAAGGCAAAGTGGCATCAGATATGTTCATGGTTCGAACGCCATAACATACGAGACCCCCGGTCCAAGAATACGCATATGGGTATCCGCGTATACCTCGATTCTTCGGACGATTTCCGCCGCGTA